AGGCCGTCCTAGACAATTGGTCACCGTCATTGTTCTCACGAACCCGATGCAACAGCTCACGCCGGAGGACCGTGCAGGGTACGCCGATAGTTACTACGTCGTTAGTTTGTCGTTATTAATTTATTAATTTATAATTTTTTGTGAAATATTGTTATGTCATCATGCGACCCTATGCGTTAGCTGTTTTTATTAATTAATTATTTAATTAATTTAATATTTGTATGATGTCTGATTGTGCACCCAATGCATTGCCTATTTTATTTATTTCATTTGTTTATTTATGTTTTTATTTATTTTATTCATTACAACTCGTTCATCGTCGTGTTTTGTGTTGTATGTTGCATTCATACCCCCAAGAAGCCTTGGGTGAGCCGCCTAGCCGCGTTTGCATACAGTTCACGCTGCTCACACACCGCCATACACCTACCTGCAGGGCTGTACACACTACCTGCCGCCAGAACCTCATGCAGTTCCTACACACGCCCAAAGTATGTCGACAAACCGACCCGAACACCACTTCCCGGTATTTACGCTGACACGGCACGGCGGGGTCTTACGTAAATAATTACGTAAGATTTAATGATATGTAAACAAATATATAATATTAAATTGGGAAATATTTGGCTGTAAATGTATCAATAAATTATGTATAAATTTATTTCATTTTTTTATAAATCATAATCATACTATCATTAATTATAAATGTATAAATTTTTTAATTTATTTCAAATTTTTATAGGAGTCACACCTGTGTTAGATGTCACATTATGCTATCATGTGTGCAGAAACAGACATCTATCGCTATAGTGTGACACTTGTCATTATCCCTGTAGTAATCATTGATATTACCGGCTTTGATGTTATAAATATGTAAATTTCAGATTAAACATAGTGTTAGAGCCACGATTCACTTCTATGTAACTTGCTAGGTATTATCCACAACTGTCCACTCTCGATAACAATCGTTCGCTTGTGAGTTAACGTTGCCATCGATACGTCGCCTTTAAGGAGAACGTGACGCGCAGAGATCGAGGGCAGAGAAGTGTACGCCGATTCACGGAGGGAGACGTGTTTCTCTACAACCGATCCGCCGGCGTCCGACAGCAAGGTGAGGATTGCACAAGACACACATTCTTTACTTTACGCTTACTTAATTTACTTTTACTTCTTACTCTTACTTTACTTACTTTACTTTACTTTACTTTACTTTACTTTACCTTTTTTTACTTTACTTTACTTTACTTGCTTTACCTTATTTTCTTCTTTACTTAACTTTACATTTGCCTTACCTTAACCCCTCAACTTAACTTTACCTCATCTTACTTTACTACATGAACTTAACTTAATTTACCTTTACATGAACTTAGATTTAATTTACCTTACATGAACTTACTTAATTACCACATAACTTAACTTAATTTACCTTACAGAACTTAACTTAATTACCTTACATGAACTTAACTTAACCTACATAACTTAACTTTAATTGTTACCTTACATTAAACTTAACTTAATTTTACCTTACAATTAACTTAATTTTAATTTACCTTACAATTAACTTAACTTAATTTACCTCTCATACTTAACTTTATTTACCTCCTTACATTGACTTAAACTTAATTTAACTTACATTAACTTAACTTTATTTACTTACATTAACTTAACTTAATTTACCTTACATTAACTTAACTTTATTTTACCTTTCCTTGTCTTACTTTACCTTACTTTACATTATTTTACCTTAACTTTACCTTTTTTACCTTACTACACATTTACTTTACCTCTGCCTTAACTTGGTTTACCTTACCTTTACGTTACCTACTATGTGTACGTACGATGTCCTCGTCCTGCAGGCATTGCTTGCATCGGCCTGTCGTTCGTCGGAGCCAGCAAGAGCTGCGACATCCATCCGTGTCCTAAAGCCGCAACAACGTGGTTTGAAGCGGAGGCCTCCGCCGAGTGTTTCGACGCCCTACGCACAGCGACACCTACTAGAACGGACAACTTCGGACCCCAGTTTCCCCGAGTATGCACCGCGTAGCGCGACGACGCTAGCCTTAGAAAACACGGTGCCTATAGGGATGCTGTCGCTAGGTCGTGTAAGCTAAACGGCTCGTACGAGTTTTCACCGCCCATTCTCAAACATGTCAACTTTTCGACACTTCCTCAGTGAGCATTTTAGAGTTGTCCTATCATACCACTGTGTGCGTGAGCAGCCTGCACTTTCTGGTCGGTCTGTTCAACAGTGACAAGAATGAATAGGCCAATCCTTGATATTTACCAATTACGACAACAAATGTGTGCATTTTCTTATTAGATTTTTTTATTGAATTCATTTTTTCATACACGTGTTTTTTATTTAAATAACTTCTAAGACGGGCGGTTCGTTAAAGTCTATGTGTCTAAGTTTAAAATGTAAACGGTGTACTATAATTGGAGTGACGAAGAAATTACACGATCTCACGCACTGCGTTGTGGCGCCCCCTGCGTTGCAGCAATTCCGCCGGGTTGGTGCGGTTCAGCGTGTGGGAGCGAGGCGACCGTGGACCATGCCACAGGCCTGCATGAGCGTTCTGCACGCCGGCGTCAGTGAACACGCCTCTGCCGACCTCATCACCGAAGTACAAGCCTCCTCCCCGCCCCGATGCGGAGACAGGGGGCGCCGGCGGCAGCGGAGGCGGCGGGGCGCGGCCGCGACAATGGCGGACGAGCTGACGACCGCTGGCGCCACCGCAGCCTGTCGCCGCCGCGCAAGCGTACCGAAGGGCTAGAAGCTTGCGTGAGATGGTCGGATGTTTGTTAATGTTTATCTTCATCCCCTTGTCCGGCACCTTCCGCCATGAAGCAAGGGGAAAAATATTATTATCTCAATGTATTAAAACACATGGAATTGATGCGATAATTGAAGCCTTTTAATTTTAATTTTGGAGAATGCCATAAGAACGCTAGGGTCGCGGTAATGTTTAAGGTAATTTTGGTAAAGCGTAATGCCAATAGCCTACGTTATATACTTGTTGGTATACGTCGTTATACGACATTGTGTTATATATAATCATATGATTGTATATTATTATATATAATAATATGGTTTACTTAATTACGTATAACGTTGGTTATACGAATATAATTCTTACATTATATGTGTTATATATATCATATTATTATTATATATAATAATATGGTTTATTATACGTATATGTTGTTATACGATATATGCTATACGCTTATAATTTAGTTATATATAATCATATGATTATATATTATTATATATAATAATATGGTTTATTATACGTATACGTTGTTTATACGATATATGCTATTGACATTATTTATATATTAATGCCTGCATGTTGGGGGCACTATGCTTCTCAGAGCTGCTTGCTGAGGGAAGGAATGTGCCCGAGCTGGTAGCGAGGGCACTATTCCTTCCCAAGCAACCACTATTGAGAGATAGTGCCCCAACAGCAGGCATTAAATTGTTTTTTTAGTGCATCACACTGACTTATGCAAATTTCTACTTTTCTGCGTATATACCTTCTTTATACTCCCTAATTTGGCCGGTGCATTTCGATGCTAACAAAACGCTCGAACAAACACCAAATCGCCCATTAATTCTAAAAATCTTGCGTGGCGCCCAGACGCAGGAGATTTCGTGACGTAAACACAATGCGTATAATACAATAGTGTGCGTCGCGCAAGCGTAGTGCCCGCTAAGGCGGCACTATTTTCTTCATAATGCCTGCTGCGTTATCCAATGAGATTGCCAGCGATTCATCAGTCATGCACTCGAAATTTTATATATAATCATATGATGATATATATTATATATATAAATGGTTTATACGTAATATGTTGTTATACGATATATGTGCATACGTATTATGTGTTTATATAATCATAATCATATATACATCAATATAGACAGACTCACTTAGATATATTGATATATTGATAGACTCCTGGATTTATTATATATATTAAATTGGGTTTTATTATACGTATTGCAATATATGCTGTTACGCATAATACGATATACTGCACCTATACATTATATTATGTTATATTATTGTATATAATAATATGTGTTATACGCGCGTATCTACGTCACAGATTCTGCCGGCACTCCGCTCTCCTCCTGGAAGAAGAAGATGCAGGACTCAGTGGCAAGCTGTTTGGACAGGTACGCCGGTAGTTCCTCACTGCGGGAACCCTCCCCTCTGACTTTTCTCCCTGCTCGCCCCTTTCCCCACTCGCGCTCGTCCCCTTCCCCCCGCTCACCCTTCCCCGACTGCCCCTTCCCCCGCTCGCCCTTCTCCCGCTTCGCCCCTTCCCCTCAGCCCTGCTCGCCCTCCCCTTGCTCGCCCTTCTCCGCGCTCGCCCCTTCTCCCTTGCTCGCCCCTTTCCCCGCTCGCCTTTCCCCGCCCTCGCCCCTTCTCCCGCTCGGCCCTTCTCCGCTCGCCTCTTCCCCGACCTCGCCCCTCCCCCGTCGCCCTTATCCCGCTCGCCCTTGCCCTCCGGCTCGCCCCTTCTCCCGTGCCCTTCCCGGCTCGCCCCCTTTCCCCCCCTTAGCTTCGCCCCTTCCCCGCTCGCCCTTCTTCCTGCTCGCCCCTTCTTCCTGGTTGCCTCTTCCCCCGCTCGCCCCTTTCCCCGCTCGCCCCTTTCACCGCCTCGCCCCTTCCCCCGCTCGCCCTTCCCCCGCTCGCCTCTTCACCCTCGCTCTCCGCTCGCCCATTCCCCTCGCCTCGCCCCTTTCCCCGCTCGCCCTTCTTCCCGCTGCCCCTCCCCGCTCGCCCCTTTCCCCACTTTGCTTCGCCCCTCCCCGCTCACTCCCCGCATCGCCCTTTCCCCGCTCGCCCTTCCCCCTCTTCGCCCCTTCCCCCGCTCGCCCTTGCTCCCCCACTCACCCCTTCCCCCTCTGCCCTTCCCCCGCTCGCCCCTTTCCCCGGCTTCGCCCCTTCCCCCTTCGCCCTTTCCCCCGCTCGCGCCCTTCCCCACTCACCCCCCTTTCCCGTCTCGCCCTTCCCGCCGTCTTGCCCTTCCCCCGGCTCGCCCCTTCTCACCGTGGCCCCCTTCCCCCGCTCGCCCCTTCTCCGCTTCGCCCTTCCCCCAACCTACCTACCCCCGCTCGCCCCTTCCCCCCAGCACGCCCCTTCCCCGCTCGTCCTTCCCTCGCTCGCCCCCTTTCCCCGCTCGCCCCTTCCCCGCTCACTCTCCGTCGCCCCTTCCCCCGCTCGTCCCCTTCCTTCCCCACGCTCGCCCCTTCCCCCGCTCGCCCCTTTCCCGCTCCGCCCTGTCCCCCTGGCGCGCCCCTTCTCCGCTCGCCGCCTTCCCCCGCTCGCCCCTTCCCCTGCTCGCCCTTCCCCGCTCGCCACCTATCCCCGCTCGCCTCTTCCCCGCTCGCCCTTCCCGCTCGCCCCTGCCCCCTGTTCCTCCGCTCGCCCCTTCCCGCTCGCCCCTCTCCCGCTCGCCTCTTCCCCCGCTCGACCCCTTGCCCCCGCCTCGCCCTTCCCCGTCTGCCCTTCCCCCCGCTCGCCCCTTTCCCCGCACGCCCCTTTTCCTCCCCGGCCTCGACCCCTTCCCGCTCGCCCTTCCCCCGCTCGCCCCTCCCCCCGCCACGCCCTTTCCCCCGCTCGATCTTCCTCGCTCGCCCTTCCCCCGCTCACCCCTTCCCCCCACTCACTCTACCCGCTCGCCCTTCCCCGCTCGTCCCTTCCATTCCCCCACGCTGCCCACTTCCCCGCTCGCCCTTTCCCCTCTCGCCCTTTCCCCGCTCGCCCTTTTCCCGCTCGCCCCTTCCCCGCTCGCCCCTGTCTTCCCGCTCACCCCTTCCCCGCTCGCCCTTCCCCGCTTGACGCTTGGGCTTGCGCTTGGGCTTGACGCTTTACGCTTGTGGTCGTACAGACATATGAACATAATATCAACGTGGCTATGTATAGAAGGGGCACGTGCCGGTCTATTCTCTCGGTTTTCGTTTATTTCGATTGCATTACGTTCACGCTGTGTTTCCCGTGTTATGCTATGTTTTTTTTCGTGCACGAGTTTACGTTTCTGGTCTTCTGTTTATTTGTCTTTTGTTCTTCACACTGCCTTCGTTAAATATTCTGGTTTTCTTGTGCAGCCAGTATCGTATCACACCCTGCAGTGTTTACCACTACGAGTGAATTCACGTGTTTCGATCACAGTCGAAATTTTTCTCTTCATACATCGTTAGTAACGCAGTAACGCCTAATAATAAGATAACAAAGCAGGCATGCAGGCAGAGGCAAAACATGCGAGAAAGCATACGTGGATCACAAAAAACATAAAATGTATGTGTTTTTGGCAGCCTTTTAATTGTATGTATGTATGTATATATATATACATACATACATACAGTTCGACGATTTTTGATACTTATATATATATACTATAATATATATATATAATATAGATAGATTATCTAATCAAAAATTCTCGATGGATTTATTTAGTTGCTATGCACATCTCGATGGGGAAAACCAGAATGTGCGTCTCCCGACACACGCCCCCCCCCCTACGTATATCTGTCACTCGTCTCAACGTGTGCGTGTTGTAGCGCCGCCGCCGCTGCAGGCAGCGCCGCAGCAGCAGAGGCAGCCCACCAGGGGGAGCTGGTCGTCGTCGGAGGCCTTAGTGGCGGCGCAGCTGGCGGTCCGGGGAGAAAACCGCTTGCCGCAAGCGTTCGTTCACGGTGTCTCGACGCTCAGCAGCTGGCGCACCTGCGCCGAAGATCCGCGCGAGAAGGTGGCTCACACGGCCTACTCCCGTGTACGTGCAGATAAACATCCGAGCATGCGGTGCGTGCGCTTGATCGAGTGCAGGGGGCCCGGGCGCTGCTGGTAAGGGCGGAGGGGCAGGCCAGCACCACACTAGGTGGTGATGGCACATGTTGGGGAGGGGGAGGGCGGTTAGGGTGGCTGGTTGGGAGGGGGGAGGGGTGTTAGGGTTTGGCTGGTTGGGGAGACTGGGGGAGGGGTTGGCGTGGCTGGTTGGTGGTTGGGCAGGGGGAGGTAGTTAGGGTGGCTGGTTGGGGAGGGGAGGAGGTTAGGTGGCTGGTTGGGGAGGGGGGAGGGGCTTAGGGTGGTGGTTGGGGGAGGGGAGGGGGTTAGGGTGGCTGGTTGGGGAGGGTGGCAGGGGAGTTAGGGTGCTGGTGGGAGGGGGGAGGGGGTTAGGTGGCTGATTGGGGGAGGGGGGAGTGGGTTAGGGTGGCTGAGTTTGGGGAGGGGGAGGTGGTTAGAGTGGCTGTTTGCGGGAGGGAGGAGGTTGGGTGGTGGTTGGGGAGGGGAGGGGCTTAGGGGTGGCTGGTTGGGGAGGGAGGGGGTTTTCAGGGTGGCTGGTTGGGAGCAGGGCTGTGGAGGGGGTTAGGGTGGCTGGTTGGGGAGGGGTTAGGGTGGCTGGTATTGGGGAGGGTGGAGGTTAGGGTGGCAGGAAATGTGACGGGAGGAATGACAGGGTGGATTAGGAGAAGGGTAGGATAACTGGGAAGGAGGGGGCAGAGCAGTTGGTGGTGTCCTTGGCAACGTCACTTGAAGTTCCTTGCAGCACCCTAGGTGGCCCAGCACTTGGTCGCGCTAACTATGGGTGGTCAACTACGTCGTCGCTAACAGTCAACTCACAGCTCTTGATTGATTGATTGATTGATTGATTGGTGATGTTTGTAGTAGCCTAATCGTTCAGTTGTATTTACATCATAGTGGAGATGAGATGTGCTGCTGGACGGAGAGCGTGGCAACCTCAGAATGCATTTAACAGCTATGTAGCTTACATGCGGTTAATAAATCTAACATCTGTAGCCGCTATGCGTAGGGAATGCAGAGGTAAAGGGTAGCCTTTGTACATCCATACAGGTCACTCATTAATCGCTCGATGCAAGCCACACAGATTTATCTCCAATATACAGTACAACCATGTATGTCAAAGGTCGTTCAAGGATTAACAAAGTGTCCTTTAGAGCAGGTGTTCTTCTATAACAGGTCGTTCTTCTATAGAGCGTTGTTTGACTGTTGTATAACTGCTACATCGCCGAGGGAACCCACCAAATGTGTCCCGTTATTAGATGGGTGTTCTTTCTATGAAGGTATATCACAGGTTTGGGCTGTACTTTGCTATGGAATTTTTATCGGCTGTTATTAGCTGGGAAGCAATGAGAATTTACTTAGCTCTGTCTGCACACTAGTTTGACAGGGTTTGGCTTCCTGTAACGATGGTGCCATGACGCCTTGTGGTGTCGGAATGCTTCTTAATGCTTTAACCATTTAGTTTCTTTATTTAACTATTGTACGCCACTGCATGTACCTCCCCTCATATAACCCGCGAGTGCTGCTTGCTTCACAGTACTAACACTCTTATCTGATCATTTACAACACACGTACGTATTCGGTGCGTTAACTTTTGTCTTCTTAGCAGTCTAATAATTTTGATCGAATGGCCCGTGAATAGTTTAAATGCTCGCTTGATGTGACGCCCATGATTTCCGATTAACTCCACGACTTCGTATGTATATTTCTGACTCTTCATACTTGCATTCCAAATAAACCCTGCAGCTTGAATTTAACGTCGAGATATGGCAGAGGAAGGCAGCGTCGTCCACCAGAGGGCAGCACGCCTACGGGCCGGGCGACAGAGGCATAGATTCATTATGTCTACCATCAATGGTGGCCCAAGTGCTTATGATTACTGTGTGGACAACGGTAGATTGTATTTTTAACACTTTATTCTCAGAACTATATACATTTAAATTTACACTTGTGTTGATATAGCGGTTCAACTTAAGAGATACGTTTCCTGTGTAGATCAGTTTCTGTTATGTTAGCGCGAATAGCTAAACGCAGAGATGTCTGTGAACATGGTTTTCTCTGTGTGCATACGTATTATAGTGCTATCAGTATCAGCTTATATTTATATTACATCAATATATATATGTCATATTATTATAATAGACACACACATGATATTACAGGTTGTTACGTTACCTCTCCCCCACGCGTGGTGGTAATGTACGTTACCTCTCCCACGCGCGTACAAAAGCTACCCGTCGTGTGTTGTAGAGGTGCCGTCGGCTCTGCGTCGTCAGCATGCTCACGCTCTCCAACCAGCACTTCGTTAGTACTGTAGAGCTGGTGCTGCGGGAGTTCCAGACCAGCGTCGTCAGTCTGTCCGACCTCGTGCCAAAGGTGTTCCGTGAGATGCAGGCGGCTGCCGCCGCCGCCGCCGCCACCGCGGACGCGGTGGGAGAGGCGGCGCGCACCTACGTGCCCTTCAGCCCGCGACCGCCTGTGCTGGTAAGCCTGCAGACAGCAGTCTGCAACGGAGAAGACAACATTATAATTAATTTGAGAGAACGAAAATTTAATGTGACGAAAAAGTCGCGACGCGATGTAAACGTGGAAATTGGCTTTCTCGCCGTAAACGTAAAAAATGGGAAAAATGAGGAAAAATTCGAGTGATTTTCTTTGATTAATGTCATCGGATATCGTTTTGTCGTGTGAAATAATTTTGTTTTGAGAAGTGATGACGTTTTGATAGCGTTGGCTGCGTGCGATTTCTGTCTCCAAGTATCCGAACATGTTTAACATGGATGCACTCACTCAAATGCCCTCAGTGGCTAAACTCACATCTGTGTCGGTTGCATTCTATGGCTAAACTCACGTCTCTCTCTCTTTCTCGTTCTCTCTCTCTCTCTCTCCCTCCCTCTCTCCGTCGCTCTCTCTTTCTTTCCTCCCCTCTCCCTCTCTCTCCTCCCCCCCCCGATTGAGCAGTAGCGCAATTCGATATCAGAACGTCACTAGTCACCGGAAGAAGTGCTAGATGGCTAGAGCTGGCCCTAGGCTGTGACAATTTCAGGACGGAGAAGAAAATGATTAAGAGGAGGAGCTTGTGCATGGGACGCGAGGGAAGACGAGAGAAAGATGGGTGTATTAAACGAGAGAGAGAGAACAATCACCGGTTAGATAAAAGAGAGCTACGAGAGGTATATGCACGCTGAGGATGTGGAATGTCGCAGAGGAGAGAAGAGAGGGAGAAGGTAAATAGTGCTAGGAAGAGGGATTGGCGTGGGAGAGAGGCATAAAATACAGGGGGGCAATTCGGTGACAGGTCCGCCAGTCCGCGGTAACCTTCTCCAAAGTTCTGCAACACACCCCGCGATTAACAAGCAAAGATGTAGTCGGTATACGAGCATCGCCTTAGTTCGAAAAGGAGAGATTTAATTAACCGGTAAATTTAATTAATGATGGCTAATTGTTAATTATTAATTGATAATTATTAAAGGCTAATTATTAATAATTTAATTAATGAGGCCGTTACCATCAACCCCCGACAAACAGGTGTAGTAAAACTGATGTCACACGGTTTTCATGCCATGCGATTGGCATGCATCAGGTGTGGCAAGCACTTACCAAGCCTTTGACTCCCTGCGCGCACTCTCCAGCGCTGCAGCCGTGCCGCCGCGACGGATTCGTGTTGTACTTTGCGTGTCGTATCTCATTCAGTCTTGTGCAAGCGGGTACGCTGCCTGAGGCTGCCTGTCTTCAGTCAACAATCTCGTCAAAGCTGCACGTAAGTAAAACCAACGTACGTTACCGTGTGGGCAACGGCGGGTTGACACGCGGACCGTCGTTAACCTGTGTACCGGCAACACACGAATACACGTGCAGTATAGTACTAATTAATAAGTCGATTAAAAAAAAATTATATTATGTCTAGATATATAGTTCTAGCTAAATTATAAGGCCTAAAGCGTAAATATCATCAGATGTAGTCAATAAATACTTGTATCCATAATATATGTATATAATCATTATATAAAGATAAGTTGTTATCCATGGCTACTCATACCAAGGCAGATAGTAGATATCCATGGCTTATCGGTGATATGTGCATACAAGTATCCGATGCGAACATTATACAGGCAGGGGTACTGGGTAGCGGAAGGGAGGGGGGGGTGGTGGGGTGGCGGGGAGTCCTGAAGGGCTCGCGCGCGCATCGCGTGGTTATGGCGCCCTCTGTGAGGGAAATCTCGGCTGCGGTCGCGGCGGGACATGGCGCTTGATGAGATGCGTTCCACGGTTATCCTGACGCGGACATGTACGTTGGTTGACCCGCCCCCCCTCCCGCTCTCTCCGCGACGCCCCCGCTCTCTCCTCCTCCTCCTCGTCAGCCTCGCCCTGCCCGCGCGCTCCCCAGCAGCGGCCGTGGTCCTGACTGAAGCGACTGTCGTAGAGTCCAATGCTTCTGTGTCGAGCGATTGGAAGTGGAGGAAGGTGGGCACGCTGCGCGCGATGCCTAGAACGTCAGGCGAGAAAGTTTTGCTTCTCCCAGCTTCGAGAAACGAAGGTTCCGCCGACGCAGTGTAGCGTGTAACAGTAGGTCAGCTGTAGACGACATGATGGTAATATGTTACAGCAATGAGGAATGTGTGATAGCATGGATGATAGATGTGTGAGTATGCATTGATTGTCAATGGTGTGATATGCATGATGTAATGTTGTGATACATTGATGTATATTGCTCATCAGCATGAGTAACGTGTAAAGCATGATTAATGTATGATAGCATGAGGAATGTGTGGCAGCGCTGACCGGAAAAATGTATGATTAGCGATGATTATAATGCATGACACATATGATTATGTAATAGTTGTGATAGCATGAATGTTGTATGCATGACACCAACTGATGTAAATGTGATGATAGCAATGATGTAATTTTTCATTGACATCATGATGGTAATGTTTGATAGTCAGGTCGATGTAATGGCGATTGACTCATGAGTAATGTGTGTGATAG